ATGGTTTAGGGTTGAGGGATGCTTATGGTGCAACGCTGGGTCGGGTAAAGGGGCAGGGCGGGGAGAGAGCGAGGCTCGGAATGGCCACTTTGATGTGGATCTCGCACTCGGAGCGGCCCTTGAAGTCTGACGAACTGTGTCACGCCCTAGCGGTCGAAATAGGGTCCCCGAATCTCTATAGTGACAATACTCCTTCAATAGAGGCATTGCTAGCCTGTTGTCAAGGACTTGTTGCCGTAGACGAAGAGGCTTACACGGTCCGATTGATCCACTTTACCCTTCACGAGTACCTCCGGACACATCCCGAACTCTTCGGGGCAACTCACTCGACAATGGCAGAAACCTGTTTAAGTTATCTGAATTTCCAGCAGATTAAGGCTCTTTCAACCAATACCTCTCCCAATCTCCAAGGCACACCCTTCCTCGAATACTCTTCTTTGTATTGGGGAGTGCACGCAAAAAGGGAGCTATCAGATTGCGCGAAGCTACTTGCGCTAAAGCTATTTGACGACTACAATAACCACATATCTATTAGGTTCTTCTTGAAAGCACAGGAATGGTGCTCGTATGTTAGCTATGATAAGCGCCCTCTATTTAGTGGTCTACATTGCGCATCCGCCTTCGGGATTGTTGAGATTGTAGCTGATTTGGTAGAGGCGGAAAATTGTGATATCAACCAAGAAGACTTCGCAGGCAATACTGCTCTCGTGTGGGCTGCTCTAAATGGGCATGAGGGGGTGGTAGAAATGCTCCTCGTACGGGATGACGTCGATCCCGGCAAACCCAATAGGTACGCTCAAACACCACTCTTTGGTGCTGCTCAGAATGGGCACGGGGGTGTGGTGAAGATACTACTCGGACGAGACGACATCAACCCCGACAAACCAGATAACCGCGGCCAAACACCACTCTATTGTGCTGCTTGGAATAGGCACGAGGGAGTGGTGAAAATACTACTCAGTCGGGACGATGTCAATCCCGACAAACCAGACGTGTATGGCCAAACACCACTCTTTGGCGCTGCTATGAATGGGTGCGAGGGAGTAGTGAAAATATTACTCGGACAAGAAGACGTCAACCCCAGCAAATCAAATAAGCACGGCCAGACGCCGCTCTTTGGTGCTGTTTTGGATGGGCACGAGGGAGTGGTGAAGATACTACTCGGGCGGGACGACGTCAGCCCCGACAAGCTTGACAAATTAGGCCGAACACCACTCTGGTGGGCTGCTAAGTCTGGTCATGCGGGGGTGGCGGCGCTATTACAGCGCCGGGTATAGGAGGCATCGTCCTCACTACTACCTTTGGATACCGATAACTTATGCTCCATTTCCGCAAGGACCGTAACAGCTTCATAAACATGTCTGTTGCCGCCATCGCCTCCCCCCATAGTTTGAAACGTCTCATTGTGGTAATTGTAATTTCCCTCTTTCCTTCCCCCCCGGTGCAAGCCTGCTCCAGAAAATATCAGTTCAACTATTTTCCCCGGGCCGAAGGATATCATACGTGAGGGAATGCACATTTCTATTGCACGCCCGCTCACACCTCTATACATATTTTCTTATGTAGTCGGGTTAGGAATTTTCGGTTCCTGTTCGTGATCAGTTTGGAGTTGGTGGGTGAGTATTTCTATTGTATTGAGACAAGCCGGTGTGGCTTGAAATTTCCACCATATATACTTTCGTTGTTTTCTGGCTATGGATCTTGTTCGCCATATATATACTTGAGGATTGTTAAGATAAGATAAGAGAATGGATATAAAGCGCAAGTACTTCTGACACTCTGGAAATGCGATGTAAAAGCTAGCTGTTAGCTAAGGTATGATGGCGGTTGGTTTCCATTATGGATATAGTTTAATGACGAACGTCCCTGCCTTCCAGGTGTGAACTTGAAGGTGAGGCTGGGAGCCTGTCCACACTTTTTCGTCTTGCTCACCAAGGAAGATTAATACAGTGAGAAGTCTTTCAACCAAGAGATTCGCTTCCATTATACGAGTGTCGATATCCCACGCCAACCTTCCAAGGGTGTGCAAGCCCTCCACCCCCTCTTTCATCACCATTGAGATCTAAAGCGTTTTTTATACTGGTCTAGCTAACGACTCTCTAGTGAGTTTATGGTAAGTTGCAGTACTACGCCATATTTTATCGTACAGCACGCTACGTAAACTCAATGTTCACGCCAGAGGTATAGATAATAATATGGCTAGGGAAAATATGGATCGATCTTCCTGACTACCCAAAGAACGGTAACATGAACCTAATAGATAACCCACTTCAGCGACGTCGAATATCCCCCAGAGAAGTCACCCTGGTGCCCAGACCTCAAAGCAGTGAGTAGGGAGCTATCATCATGCTACAACACCATATTCCCCCATATTCCCAACCATTAAAACTCTTCCCGAACTCGAGTGATATACCATGACCAGGAAATTAAAGCCGAAAATGCGCTGCATATTATTATGGTATGATATACAGTATCCCCACACAAACGACATCTCCACACCATCCTCTCACAACCGGCATGTTGCCCACCACAAAGCGCAGGCAACACTGTGCCCCGCAAACGAAAGGAAAAATGAAAGAAACCCGGGATGCCCACCCTGCACATCGGATCATCTCCATCTGCATCTCTTTCCAACCTGTCTGCCTGCCTGCCCGCCCGCCGAATTGAGAAATGAGCGGCATGAGTTGGAATAAATTGAGTTGCTGAAAACGAAAAAACGTCCATGGCGCAGACTGCTCGTACGTATGTCTACGGGATTGGGACGGTTTATCCAGTACTGTACGACACTGTACGGTACTGTCCAGAGCTATGCTGTGGCTGTGGTACTATGATAATATCCATAATATGATCAAGATTGATAAGAGCATACTCTCCGGATACGTTCTTGGGTGGGGCGACCGTCACTTTTGGTTTTCCTCGACGATAATATTTGTAGCAAATTGTTCGATCTTGGCGACAAAATCAGTCGGAAACCCCACCACTCTAGACCAAAAATGGGTCATTTTCACTTTGCAAACGATACCGGTACCGCCACGACAAGGTAGTAGGGGGATTTAGCAGGTCCGGAACACGGCTTCGCTAGGCCAAGGCTGCCTCTATAAAGGGTTTAGAGAGGATACCCGAAGATCGTCCCTACCCACCTAGGCGGTTATATACCCGCCTAGAAAGTGTCCAGTCTTTGAATGATTCTCAGGTGATAGTAAGAATTGGTGGAGTGAATTTTTGAAGTGGAATTTAAAGCTCAAATCCTAGGGTTATCATTAAAAAATAAAGGGTGAAAAAATATTAGGTTTCAAGAAAGCCATGAGGGATGAAACAGAGGTTAATGGTTTTGTTAGGGGACTAATTAGGATTAGTACACTTTCCTTATTCGGCTCATAGCTGCTATCAATGGCAACCTAAATGGACTCTATTGCTAGAGCGTAGTTAGGCTCGGGCGAGGGAATTTTTCCACTTTCGTTACCCTAGCGAATCATGCCCCGACCTGCTAAATCCCCCTGGTGACCGGACAAGGCGGTAATTGGCTCTGCCGTTTAAACGCAGGTCACACATAAGTCACACATAATTTAAATGATTCCCCTCTTGTTCCCCCCTTGTCCGGTCATTACTTTGCCGCGACTGTACTTCTAATTTCATTGACTATGGGTTTCCCATACAAAAGGCACACTGCAACAGCATCCAAACCGGCCCCTCAGCTCTCAGCCACATGGTAGGGTGGGAAAATTGTCGTGATCTCTGCTCAGAAAGTCTGGGTAATTGCCTACACTATGGGATTGATTTCATTAATTCTCCATTGCTTTTGGGCAAGTTGAGTGTGTTTAAAAATGAGCTATTTTTAGTGTAAAATGGGGGGGGTGCCAGAGAATTTCGTTGGCAAGACCGTACTCTAGTAAATAGATAGAACTGTAGTAGACTCTATAGTACTCGTAAACACAACCATGGAGAGCTTGGAAACTTATCGCATAGAGGCAAACTAAACGTAACCGCTGCCCCATCCAAGACTCTGATGTCAAATACGGCATCACATCGTATGGTGGTGGGCGGTGGCCGGGTTGTCTCCACGTTTGTTATCGTCGTGGGTTTACCGGTGCCCCTTCTCGCGTTTGCGCTGTGGGTAGGCATAGTCTACAGTAGAATACGAATATCATACCGTGATCGAGTACCGTACCCTATAGAATCCGTTTTCTGCTCATTCTGACTTTTACTTGGAGGTCCAACTCTCATGCATGGTAATCGCCTTTGAGTGCACCCCGCTGCTGTCGACGCTTTCCCTCTCCCTCCGAGTGCACTATTTTTTCTTATTCTTGCTGCGCAAGCTATACCGGTACTCCGGGAGAGACAAAAATCCTTTCTCTGATACCCGCCATACCAGTCGCACTCCTCAATCACCATGTGTAAGCATCATACCGGTACTCGATGGACCAGGATGGAGGGTCTTCGTGCGCAGTCTGCCAAAAATCTCAGCTCAATATATCACGCTATGCCAGATTTCCCCCGGTAGGTATCATACTGTAGAGCATTTTTCGTTGCTGGTACCAGGTTTGGGTCGTATGGGGATCGGGAGGTTACATTCAGAAGATTCTTTCTGGATTCTTGATAGAGGGCTCTCCGATATATATTTCGTTATGGACATTTGAGTTCCCAAGCGATTGGTTCGTACTAGACTAACAGTTTTCCAACATGGTAGTCCATTATCTCCTTGACTGGTTAATGAGGGGAAAATGTTGTGGGGCTCCCTGTCAGTTTCCAAGACAGGTATGATGACTAAGGCACTCCCTCAGTACGAGTATTCTCCAGTGATGATCAACGTAGGATCCTGGATAATATTAGCCATGGTCTGAAGATTTTGCTTATCTGCGAATTTGTAGTCATCGACAAAACTTGTTTATTAACCTGTGTCTCAGATGCTGACAAGCGCGGCGCGAAAGCCAGCGACTATTACCATGCAGTATCATCTCTACCCATCCATTCCATCCATCGACCAAAGATTTATCCGGCCCGGAACACCGCTCGATTCAATTACATTTTTACTCTATTCGAGTGCTGTGGTGGGTTTACCCCGGATTCATCTTGTTTCGCTAAGAGAATTTAAATTTACAACCGTAGTGGCGGGAGTTCGCCACGAGATCCACCGATTTTTTTAACTCATTTTGTATTCCACTGTACCTGACCGGAGGGAAGGGTTGGCGGTAGGCAGTTGTTCCTGACAGGATACGGTTAGATACAGTATACAGTACTCGAGTACAGTACAAGTACCATCAGGGCGCTCGTCTGTCTCTTCGTCTCCTCTCTTGTGGGTTAGCTTGGCCACCATTTCTTGCTCGAGTACGAGTACCAGTGCCGTAGAGTATGATACCAGTACCGTACTTTTTTCTTCTTCTTCCTCTTCCTCTTCCTCTTCCTCTTCCTCTTTCCCGCCTTGGAATAATAACATTACGTTAAGGTGCTCCTTTCTTGGCGCTAAATCTATGACAAGGCTGGGCTTTAACTAGTTGGGAGGTTTTCTATGCACATCCCAAGCCTTCAAAGGTATCACATATTATCGCTCTTTTCTTACACACCTTTTATTTTCATGTTTTTTCCTCCTCTCTCACCCTCTCACCCGTTCGCTCTCACACACCCTCTCCTTCTCTCCTTCTCTCCTTTGATGAGTGGAAGGAAAGGAATGGAGAAAAAGACACGAGCGATCCAGCCATTAAGTTAAGTTACAATTACAATTTCTGACTGGCTGCTCGAGTGCTTGATCACAGTACGAGTACCGGTATCATACAGTACAATACTTTGCTTACCTACCGGCTGATTGGCGAGCTAACAGCGGTCGCTCGTCCATCCATCCATCAAACTTAACCCAACAGCTCCACGAATGCTCACACCCACCATCAACCCGTCTGCTTCATCACCCTAATCACCTTAACCTTACCTCATTTCACACCCACACCTACACCCAACTCCCCTCACCTCCTCACTCACGCTTCTACATACAGTACACCTCACCCCCCCCTCGTTGTTCGTTCGTTCCTTCATTCGTTCATCGTTGCTGTCGTCTGTCGTTCGGTTTCGGTAGACTGGGCTTGAGCTTTTCTTTCTTTTCCTTCTTTCCTTTCCTTTTTTTTTCCCTTTTTTTTCTCCCGAAGAATCCTGCACTATTACCTACCTACCCTGCCCCCCTTTCCCTCACTATTGCTAGAGTTTGATAAGGTAGTGTACGGGTAAAGGTACTGTAGCTTTGCTGGGCTTAGCATAGCAAAGCATATAGCACAGGGACAAGAAAGAAAGCAAAACGGAAGCTCGGTAAAGGGACGAGGGAAGAATTGGATTTCCACCACTACTGCTGCGTTCGGTCAACTAATCTTGTACCCCCCCACCTCACGGGCTCCCTGAGGGAGCTTCACCTCTCCATCTTTCTACTTTACCCAGCTACTACTACTATTTCTGCAAAGGGCAACCCCCTCCATCCAGCCTGGCAGCAGTGAGCGTAAACGTGCTGGATGAGGCACTGCCGAACGTGACTCGGCAAATTCACCACCACAACCACTATGAATCGGCAGCAGAAACCAACCCTCACCACCACGACTACATCGACAGCAACAATGATGATTTTCATACTCTGCACTCTCCTCTTCGGGGTAGGCCTAGCCCTCGGCCAGCAACACCAGCAATACCACCAGCAGCAGCGAGTCCTCCCACGGGATCCGGACTCCCCGCATCTGGTTGCCGGGATAAACGATAGTGGCCGGAACTACAACCGCGGCACTGACGTTAGTTCCACCGTTCGAGCTCTCGCTACCGTTTCTGCGGGATCGACTTCTTCCTCACCCCAGGATCGTGGGGCTATCTACCAGGACAATAGGCGAAAGAGGAGTTTGGGCGTAACTACTGGGGGAGGGGGAGGGGGGATATCCGCGATTGGAGGTCATAGGAGTCTGAATGACTGGGAGGTGGAGGATTTTGTCCTGCTAGCTACGGTGGATGGGACGCTACATGCTAGGGATCGGAAAAGCGGTGCTAAGCGGTGGGAGATATTCGCGCATGATCCGGTGGTTCAGACGGTCTACCATCGCGCGAACGGCAGCGCGGCGGGTACAGAACGGGATTGGATTCAGGACGATGACGTGGTTTGGATTGTCGAGCCGATTCAGGATGGGGCTTTGTTCTTTTTTACGCCGGATAATGGGTTGCAGGTGTGTGCTCTCCTACCAACCCATTGATTAATTGGAGGATGGAGTTTACGGAACTGACTGCGCGCGCGCGGGGGGAAACAGAAACTTGACGTCACCGTCAAAGGCATCGTGGATGACTTATCGCCATTCACGCCAAAGGGTAGTGATCGCTCTTACAATGGCGAAAAGAAGACCACGACTTTTGCAATTGATGTCCGTACCGGCAATGTTCAGAGGGTCTTCTCATCTGCTGGCGTGGCCAATCCCGTCAACAACGATAAATGTAAGCCGAATAATGGACTTGAAGAGGATCTCGATGACGATGAGTGCGAATCTGTTCCAAAGACTATTTTGATCGGAAGGACTGGTATGACTCACAATTGGGAATTGGGGGGAACGTTGATTACTGATATTTCTTTGAAAGAGTATATTGTTACCATCAATAGTCTGTCCACTGGTGAGCGGCTTTGGACTATCAAGTATGCTGAGTGGGGACCCAATAATGGGGATAGGGATCTTGCCATGCAGTATGAAAGGTCTATGGATAATAGGTATATCTATAGCGGTCATGATGGTAAGATTTATGGGTTTGAAGGGGACGTAGCCGGTATGTTTTATATGTCCCATCCGGGTGGGTGTTTCCTGGCTAGCCCGATCATTGACAATCTGTATGTTAGGTTCTGACAGCGAACGCCGCCCGAAATACCAGCAATCCTTCTCCTCTCCTGTTATCAGAGTCTTCGACGTCGTCAAATCCATATCTTCCCCCGCAGAATCCAAAACCACCGTTTCTGTTGTTCTCCCACAGCCAAATCTCGCATCCAGGGAATTGGACCGGTACGAAGGATTGACATTTGTAGGCTGCACCGAAAACGACAGTTTCTACGCTCTATCAGAAACAAGCTACCCATACGTTACAGATGGAGCTCCAGACGCAACATTCTACGCTGGTGGGCGCCTAAAATGGCAAACATCCGCCCGTAACGAGCGTCACAAGACAATAATAGGCACCCACCACGCGCATTTCGGATTCGATGAACCCTACCGCGCATCCCTACCCGCCCCTACGCCGATCTCACATGAAGAACGACCAGCCGTCAGATCCAGGAACACTGCCCCGCCGCTGCCGTCCTCACCCTCCCTGAAGGGTAGCCGTTTGATCAACTTTGCTATGGAAAACCTTGTGGATATAAGCATTCTGGTTCCCATACTTACAACGTTGATTTGGTTGTTTATGAGGCAGATGGGTGGAAGCAAGGTTGGAAACAGGGCGCCAGAGAATGTGAGCAATGCAACTATGGCTAGTCATGCGGGGGAGTTCGTGCGGTTTGCTGGGGCGCCTTTGGAGCATACACCGAATGGAGTGCCAATCCCAGATGAATTGCCCGACAAGGTGGTTATTTTGGGGGAGCAGTTACAGGGGCAACCTGAACCAATTGCACAGCAGCAGCAGGTGGAGGAAGCGGTGGCTGCGGCCATAGAGGTGGCGGCTCCGAGGGAGGAGATACAACGGCCGGCTGTAGCCCCGGAGGCAACGTCGGGGGCAGTAAGATTTAGGGATGCCGCGGCCATGGTTGAAGAGGATGCTGCGGTGACACCAACTCCTACTCCTAAGAAAAAGAAGCCTCATAGAGGCCACAGGGGAGGTGCTAGGAAACGGGGAAAGGCAAATGTGGAGAAGGAAAAGGAGAAAATAGAGGTTGTGGTTAGTGAGGTGAAGGAGATTGTTAGGGAGAATCCGATGCAGGTTGATCTCAACACACTAGCTATAGATCCCTTAGGGGAAGAGTGGGATTCGTCGTCACTAGTTGCGATAAATAACTTGATGGTTCATGAAGATCAAGTGTTAGGTAAGCCTATCGGGTCTCTCGATTGCGATTTCCTCCAACTAACAATCTTCAAGGCGTTGGCAGTCAAGGGACAATAGTGTACAGAGGCTCGTTCGAAGGAAAAGTAGTAGCCGTCAAGCGGATGTTGCGAGACTTTATCGACGTAGCGGAGCACGAAGTCTCGTTATTGCAGCAAAGTGATGACCACCCCAACGTCATCCGCTACTACTGCACCCAACACGGGTCCCGATTTTTATACATAGCATTAGAGCTCTGCCCAGCATCACTATTCGATATATACTCCGACCCAATAAAGCACTCTGACCTCCTAGAACTCATGGACCCCATAGACGTCCTCCGTCAGATCGCCTCGGGAGTACGTCACCTCCACTCGTTAAAGATTGTGCACAGGGATTTAAAACCTCACAATATCCTTGTCAGCCACCCTAAACCCCTCCTGCACGACTCCTCAACGAAAAGGCCAAGGATCCTGATATCAGACTTTGGCCTGTGCAAGAAATTAGAAGGCGATAAGAGCTCCTTCGGCGCCACAACCGCTCATGCAGCGGGCACATCGGGCTGGCGTGCGCCCGAACTCCTTGTCGACGAAGACTCCGCTGCGAAACCGACCTTCCCCTCACAACCTCCTCCCCAGCCACCAACGGCCGAAGCCTCCACCTCAAACTCATCCTCCGAAACCGCTGTAATTGACACACTAACTAACCGTCGCGCCACTCGCGCAATAGACGTCTTCTCGCTAGGGTGCGTATTTTACTACATCCTCTCCCGCGGCGAACATCCCTTTGGCACACGCTGGCACCGAGAATTCAACATCATAAACAATAAACCCGACCTCTCCCACCTTGCCCCTCTGGGGCTAGCAGAACACGAAGCCAAAGACCTAGTCTCTAGCATGATAAGCCATAACCCTCGAGAACGTCCAGACGCTACGAAAGTTCTTATTCATCCGTTCTTTTGGTCGCCAGAGAAGCAATTGGCCTTCTTGCTAGATGTGAGTGATAGGTTTGAAGTTGAGAAGGATAAAGAGAAAATCACTAGCCCCGAGGGAGGGTACAGATCCCCGTTTATACCAATGCTGGAGCGAAATGCCCGAGAAATTTGTGGTGGTGCTGGGGACTGGATGAAGAGGCTTGATAAACTATTCCTCGCAGAGTTAGTGAGCAATAAGCGAAGAGGGTACGATGGTGAGAAGGTGCTGGATCTGTTGAGGGCTATACGAAACAAGGTACATTCTGCCCCCCCCCCATGTGGACCGTGGAGGATAAAAATGCTAACAAATGGGTAACAGAAACATCACTACCAAGACATGAGACAGCCCGTAAAAGAAGCCGTCGGCGACCTCCCGGGCGGCTACTTGAGTTACTTCTCCCGGCGCTTCCCGGGCCTCCTACTGCATGCCTGCGAAGTGGTTCGCGACACAGGCTTCTGGCAAGAACCGGTTTTCAGGGGATATTATTCGGTGCAGCATTAATCTATTAACCAGCTCATCAACCTTGCTGGGCTACCGGTCGTAGAAGAGGAAGGATGTTTCTTGCATATACTTTTTTTTTTTTCCTTTAAAATTTCGGAACCTGTTCTCATTTTTGCGGGGTTTAGTTCGCATTTGGCTTGGGTTCAGACCTGGTGTGGGGTGGGTGGGTTGGGGAAGTTGGAGATGGTGAATATAAAAAATGTTTGGGCTTTGGGATCGCTTGGGTTGGCTTGGGAATGTTTCGGTCACGTGTGTTTCTCTTTTACTTACGAGTACTGTTCTCGATGGTTGGTTGCCTTTCCTTTTACCTGTCTTGATAGCCTAGTTATTACCGGAGTCTTTCGCTTTTTCTTACTTTCCATTCACGTTCACGGCGTTGTCCTTCTCTTTCTGTATATATATACTCTTTTGATTGGGCATTTATTTGTTAGCCACCACTCACTCAACTTACCTATCACACAGTACAAGCATACGAAATCCTATCTCTCTGACTGCGATACTAGAGCAGAGTGTCAGTGCTTTCTAAATCGTTGGCGCAGAATTACAGGCTATCTCTCGCTCAAGTGGGTTAGTGGTTACAGTATTGTATGTATCTACCGTATCAATTTGCTATCCAGCATACGAGTACTGGGAGGGGTAAGATACAATATCATGGTCAAAGCCTCATTTTATACACCAGAAATTGCCCGGTTTTGGGCTAACCACTTAACTTACAACTTGTCCAAAATGAAAATGAGGAAGCGCTACGATTGACAGCGGCACCATGGGCTTTATGATTGCAGAAATGGAATAAAAAGGAAGAGGGAGCTTCTGTAAGATCTCGCGGTAGGCAGACAATTCTAGAGGGGTAAAGTGAAGCTAGCGGAAGCTGGGAGCATTGCTTTGCGAATATCAACATGTCGTAGCTTATCTACTCGCGAATTTGGGGGGTGATAACTATTATTGCGGCATAATTAGTGCCCATTTCTAGCACGATTTTGATCCGGTATTAAATTGAAGACATTGACAGATTTGTCTGGATCGGCTCTCTTCCATACCGTATGAATCGAGGGCTCTTTCTGCTCCACCGAAATACAGTATCTCTGCATGGCCGTTCCCCCCCTCCATTGATTCTCGTTGGCAGTATAAGCTTTTAGTCTTACTGAAATTTGATGCGGTTCTTGTTGGGGGCGGTTTTTTTTACGGTATCTGTGTTCCCCGCCAGAGCACGCAGGGGTTTCCCTAGAAAGAAGTACTACTGTACTCGAGTAGAGTACGGTACCTGAAAATAAGAGGTATGTTTTGTATTGACGCTCAGATATGCACAAATTCTTTGCCACACTGTACTCAAGTATCTCTTTCCATGCCTCCGGGCACTGTACTGCACTCGGGTAAGTTACTTGCGCGGGACAAATAAAATTTGGGCCAGACAGGCCGGTGCCATATCAACTACGATACCGTTACCTACAAGTCTGAGAAGCCATTGTGGCAGGATGCCTCAAGAGAATATTGAGCACAACTCGCCTAGGGTTCTAGCTTCTGCGGCTCCGTGCTTTATTCCGCGAGGCTTATTGATCGATCAACATGATCCCTACGTTGCCACAGAAGCTTTCTCACCTTTTATACTCGAGTATTTATTTATGAAGGAGTGAGCTGAGGTGAGTGAGGCCAGCTACTGTAATTGGTCTGTTGGGTTTGTTGGCGCCACTATCCCAATTCGTGTGGGGGGCACGCGCAGTGGAAGAATATCATTTTGTCTAGGAGTGTGGTGGTGAGAGGTTACAAGGAAGTGACACAGTGCAGGTAGGATAAAGAAAGAAGTTTCTCCATCAATCCATCCGTCCATTCGCTGTCTCTATGCATAAAAGTTAACCTACGATAACAACAATTAGCACACACTAGGCAATATCTGAAAATGCGATTCAAAGAACTTACAGTATCCTTCTTCTTAGCCTGCACCTCCGCAATCGCATCCACATAGTGCTCATGCGAGACCTTGGTCCTCCCGCTCCTGAGCGCGATCATACCTGCCTCAACGCATACAGCCTTCAGTTGGGCGCCGCCAAACTCGTCAGTACTGCGAGCAAGTTCCGTCCAATTGACACCCTCCTCAACCGTCATTTTCCTGCTGTGAATTTTAAGAATGCCAGCGCGGGCCTCCTCGTTCGGGAGCGGAAACTCAATTTTGCGATCGAGACGACCGGATCTGAGAAGTGCGGGGTCGAGCACGTCTACACGGTTGGTAGCAGCGAGGACCTTGACGCGGTCATCGGACGAGAAGCCGTCTAGCTGATTGAGCAACTCTAACATTGTGCGCTGGACTTCGCGGTCGCCGGACTTTTCGCTGTCGAAGCGCTTAGTGCCCACTGCGTCCAGCTCGTCGATGAAGATTATTGTGGGGGCTTTTTCCTTGGCTAGGGCGAAGGCGTCCCGGACGAGCTTCGCGCCGTCGCCGATAAACATCTGGACTAGTTGCGGGCCAGCAATTTTTAAAAAGGTGGCTTTGGACTGGGCGGCACAGGCTCGCGCGAGGAGAGTTTTACCGGTTCCAGGGGGGCCGTACATTAGTGCTCCTGTTGCGCCACTTTGTATCAGTGTTGGGAGGTAGGTATTTGGAGGGGGGATGTACCCTTGGGTGGCTTGATTCCAATCCTCTTAAAGCGCTCTGCCTCCTCCATAGGCATGACCACAGCTTCCACTAATTCTCCAATCTGCTTGTCTAATCCGCCAATGTCACCGTACGTTTCTGTAGGCTTCTCGTCAACTTCCATCGCTTTCACTCTCGAATCGTATTCCGCTGGTAGGGTGTCTAAAACTAGGTAACTGTCCTTATTGACCCCGATCAGATCACCCGGGCTAAGCTTCTCAGGATCCACAAGGCCGATTAGAGGTAAGAAGATGGTCTGCCGGGTAGAAGTCTTGATAACAGCGGACTTGCCGGCCCGTGTTGCATCAAGGTCCACATTCGCTCCATCCTCAGCTGCCTCCGCAGTTGGGTCCATATCTAAGAGCTCGACGACGTTGCCTACTAAGTACGGTAGCTGTCTGATAAATCGCACAGATAGATAATTAGTAACGCTTGATAAATGGTTGATGGGAACTAAAGTGGAGTGAAGCAAACCGGTTATTCTCAATCTTGTCCAAGTTATCCTTTATCTTCTCCTTAGTATTACTCTTTTCGTGCGTGAGTCTCTGAAACTCCTGTCTCATAACCCGGAGGTCGTTCTCTAGGAGGCGCTTTCGATAGATAATGTCTGTGGTAGACCCATTCAAGACCTCTGGGTCGATTTCATCGTCGTCCCTATCGCCATCGACTGACAACTTCGCATCACCATCAGGGCCCCCTTTATCCTTTGCTGCCTTCTTGTCCTGGTCTCTCTCTCTCTCGAGGTCGTCAAGGTCTTCTAGGGATGCCATGGCTATTTATTAGAAGGCTGATTATGTGGTGGAGTTGTTAGTTGCTGGAAGGCTGGTTTGTTTATGTCCGGGGGGGCACAGAGGTTGATGAGGTTGGTGTCGAGGTAGAGATGGATGAAAAGGGTTTGGTGGGAGGGCTTCTATTTGGCGACTTGGGAGATGGGATGTTATAAGAGCTGTGAGGGATGCGTCGTGGATCGGGCAGGTTGGGGCATGGGGACGGATCTGGTCTTGGGGTTGAGGTATTGACCAAGTTACACTATAACACCCACGCGTAGATCCTATCACTGCGTGGCTCTAGTCACAGCCGCCAATGGACTAAGTTACTGATAGAAAAATTAATTGAAGCTCGTGCCCAATTTTTCGCAACTTTATCCTTTCCACGACCACCAACCGCCACCCACCTACTATCAAACACAGAATGGTGAGATACATAACAATAGTATTCGGAGTAGTGGAAATCAGAGGACTAATTGAATATCACAGGCTCGCCGTCGTACAAAGAAAAGAACTCATATCACGCCAGTAGATCCCACCAAGAGTGCAACAGTTGGAGGTCAGCCTCTCAATGCTTCCGCCTCGCGTACACCCAAGACGATGGTCATAAGGGTGGGTGCAAGTGAGGTCGGTCCGAGCATTAGCGAACTGGTTCGGGACGTACGGGCAATGATGGAACCGTATACCGCCTCACGTCTACGGGAGCGTAAGTCAAACAAGTTGAAGGACTACACCACGATGGCTGGTCCCCTTGGCGTCACTCAACTTCTTCTCTTTTCCCGTAACGCTGGATCGGGGTCTGCCACTCTACGAATTGCGCGCTGTCCGCGGGGACCTACCATTCATTTCCGTGTGAAAAACTACTCGCTTTGCAGAGATATTAGGAAAAGCATGAGGAACCCGAAGACTCCGGGGAAGGAGTTCGCTTCTCCACCTTTGGTTTGTCCTTTTAGCTCCATTTATCATGGTATCATACTAATTAGAATAGTTGGTAATGAATAACTTTACTACTCCTCAACCACCGAACGCTGACGGAACGCCCGGGCGCCCACCCCCACACGAAGTACTGCTAACAAGCATGTTCCAATCACTTTTCCCGCCAATCTCCGCCCAGCGGACACCCCTCTCTTCGATCCGTCGTGTCCTCCTTCTTGACCGTCAGCTGATGCCATCAGATTCTGGCGATGCCCCATCAGAATATGTCATAGAAGCCCGACATTACATAATTTCCACGAAGGCTGTCGGGCTATCAAAGCCAATCCGCCGCCTCGACGCTGCACAGAGAGCCGTTCGCCAACCCAAGACCTCCCGGAGGGGTGCGCTGCCGAACTTGGGTAAACTGGAGGATATTGCGGACTACATGCTTGACCCCGGCGCCGCTGGAGGATACACATCGGAAAGCGAAGTTGAAGAGGATGCAGAGGTTGAGGTTCTACAATCCGCGTCTAGCAAGCAGGCTCCTAGAAAGAAACGCACTCCCAAGGGACCTGAAAAGCGCGTGGTAAAATTATCAGAGATTGGGCCTAGGATGAAGTTGGAGATGGTCAAGATCGAGGAGGGACTAGCGGAAGGCAAGGTTCTTTGGCACGCATGGGAGAAGAAGACCAAAGCGGAGGAGCGGGAGCTGGAGATTAGGCACAAGCAGAAGAAAGAAGAGAGAGATAGGAGACGGAGGGAGCAGATGGAAAATGTCAAAAGGAAGAAGGCCGAAAAGGCTGCGGCGGGGGAGAAAAAAGGCGGGGGGGATGGTGGTGGTGACGAGGAAATGTGGGACGATGAATATGATGGCGAAGAGGAAAGTGAAGAGGGGAGCGGAGATGAGGAGGGAGAGGATGAAAAAATGGGAGACGAATGAAGGTTTTGTACAATGGTCAATCTTCTTCTAGGCGGGCTGTAAGATAATTATAAATCTGGAGTCATTGCGAAAAGCGCCTCCCACCTCTAAAGCGAAACCGTCTAGTTTCTCCCATTCTCCGCATTCTTGGTAAAGGATTAACTTAGCAAGTGGAAATTACTACCCTATGAGTTTGTTCATGACGTTACTGTACGAGGAGAATAAGTGAGTTTGTACGAGTAACCGCCTATGACCTGCCACACTGAATATGCTGCAGGCCATAGCTAGTCTAACTTGTGGCTAGCTGTCGAGAACTCGGATATATGCTTGGGGTTTATTACTTTTTTCACGTATCAGTGAGGGTTTTATGTTCGACTATTTTTCTTATCGTGGTGGATCTTTCCTTCCCAAATAGGAGTGATTTGTCGCTTAACCGGCAAGGCCAAGCAGGCGCCTGCGGAGCGACACCAGCACTGAGCATGTTCATTGCTGCCTTTCCTCAACCCATTTGATCCCCTCGATCTTCTCAACTCATTAGACTTTACTATCCCAGCGAAACCATGGATCCGGCGACACGGGTATCTGAATCCAGGACCAATATTGGGAATGAAAACACGAGTTGTGCTAACCACAACACCAACACCGCCAACATCAAAAATGGTGATTCTAGTTCCACCACTATCACTACCACCAACATCACTGGTGATCACAATTACATCACGATCCCTGCACAACAACCCAACGAGGAAAAGCGTAAGATTCTGGAATGGATATCTCCACTGGATCTTCAGGACAGGCACCAAGATGTACGGGAACGCCGGTTCGAGGGTGTGGGAAATTGGCTTCTCCAAGGAAGCGAGTATAGTAATTGGGCATATGGATCTGCTGACCCTACGCTTTTCTGTTATGGTGATCCCGGAGTCGGGAAGACCTACATCAGGTACGGCAGGAGATTTGATCAATCGTATACATTACTGACTAGCAGAAACCTTAGCTCTCTAGTTATTGACACCTTGCACCGCGAGGCTGGTGAACGAAACTTCCGAGTGTTTTACGTGTACTGCGGCTACCTTACACATAAGGGGCGATCCGCTACAGATCTGATCGCAGGGCTTCTTAAGAGGGTTGTGGCTGGGCTGGATAGGATCCCCAGAGAAGTGAGCCAGGGGTTTGAGAGGTCTAAAAGCCATGGAGGTGATCAGATCCCTCCTCTGCTTCGGGAGGTTAGAGATATGTTAGGTGCGGTTCTTGCATCCTTTCGACGGGCATTTATCTGTATCGACGGATTAGACGAATTTCCGCAAGCCCAGAGGCCCAAACTTCTTAGTTCCTTGGCAGTACTTGTCCAACGGTCGCCAAAAACCAGACTCTTTCTCACTGCTAGGCCACATATTCGACATGAAATTGAGCGGGGCCTCGGCAAAGGTGCACAAATTATATCCATCGAAGCTAGAGGGGGGGATATCGAGAGATACATCATCCACAGGCTGGCTGAGGATGGATATCCAGATGAGATGGACTCTATGTTGAGAAGGGATATCAGAGAAATTCTTCCTCAAAGAGTCTCAGGAATGTATGTAGAAGTAGTGGTGTTGCGTACTGGAGAAGTCAAATTCACTGATAATAATGTCTAGATTTCTGCTGGTGTACTTAAAAATGAACGCGATATTGGACGCGGCGAGTAAACACGATAGAAGGAAAATACTCCTGGCGGGGGAAGATAAAACAAAGTTGTGGGGGGAATACAAAAAAACACTGGACCGAATAGCCGAGCAGGGTGACGTCAGATCACAGCTCGCCCTTAAGGTTTTAATGTGGCTTTGTTGTTCAAAGCGGCCATTACATGTCGACGAACTGCGGCATGCCTTAGCGGTTGAGGAAGGGTCGACAAGTTCTAATCCCGAGAAGGTTTCTTCGGCCCAAACATTATCAGGCTGCTGTTTGGGACTTGTTACTGTTGACAAGGGAGAATCGACCATCCATTTGATACATTCCACAGTAAAAGATTATCTCGACAAAAATCCTAAGCATCTCCAGGGGGCCAACTTGACGATTGCGGAAACATGCCTTACGTACCTCAACTTTGAGGATATCAAATCTCTACCACTTTCTCTCTGCACTGCCCCGGAAAATACCCCCTTTCTCCAGTATGCTTCCTGTTACTGGGGGGAGCATGCCCGGGAGGAAACCAAGGGCCACACGAAAGCGCTTGCTAAAAAGCTCTTGGAGAGATATAGTGGGCATATATCTGCTAAGCTGCTTTTGTTAGAGAAATATTGGCCTTGGGGGTACGACCCAAAAGATCCCCCCGATCATTTTAGTGGACTACATTGCGCAGCATTCTTTGGCCTCCAGGAAACGGCAATTGCCTTCTTAGATACAGAAGTCCCCAACTCAGGTCCAAAGGACATAACTGGAAGCACCCCACTAACATGGGCCGCGAGAAATGGGCATAAGGAGTTAGTGCAGCTATTGTTGGGGCGAAAAGATATTTTTGATCCTGAAACAAAAGATAACGACGGGTGCACACCATTCTCATGGGCGGCTAGGAACGGGCATAAAGAAGTGGTGGAGCTGTTTCTAGGGGAGGATGCTATCGGCTTTGAAACGAAAGACTATTTTGGCCGAACTCCGCTCTCGTGGGCTTCTGGGGGTGGCCATCGGGGGGTGGTGGAGCTACTACTGGGTCGACAAGAAATAAGCCCCGAGGCAGAAGACTGTCACGGCCGAACCCCACTTTCGTGGGCCGCCGGAGGCGGGCATAAATGTGTAGTAAAGCTATTGTTGGGGGCAGGGAAGGCTTGCCCCAACTCCGTAGACAACGAGGGCCGCACGTCAGTTTCCTGGGCTGCCGGGGAGGGGTATGAGCGCGTGGTCGACTTTTTTTTACGCGAGCAAGGTGTCGACCCAAATTTGCCGGATGGTAATGGGCGGACGCCGCTCTCGATGGCTGCCGAAAGTGGACGCTGGTTGGTAGTAAAGCTCTTACTAGGTCGAATTGACATTGTACCTGGTATGGCGGATAAGAATGGTATGACACCGCTCTCATGGGCTGCCAGCAAGGGGAATGAGGTAGTAGTGAAGCTATTTATGGAGAAAGGAGAGACTGGAAGCGACTTTCTAGACAAGGATATCTCAATATCACTTTGGTGGGCCGCTGGAAGTGGTCACGCTGGAGTAGTAAGGCTTTTGTTAGGATGGAAAGGTGTCAACCCAAATTTTGTTGGGGAGTATGGGTGGACTTCATTAATGCGGGCTGCTGCGCATGGGCATGAGAAAGTCGTGAAGCTGCTGCTGGAATCTGGGCATATCGACCGTAACTTAGCCGACTATTCTGACAGAACCTCGCTCTCCTGGGCCGCTGGTAATGGGCACGACAAAGTGGTAGAGCTGCTGCTGGAGGGTGGAAATATTGATACCGAATTAGCTGATAAAGATGGTCGGACACCGCTCTCATGGGCTGCTAGGAGTGGGAACGGAGGAGCAGCACAACTATTGTTGAAGAAGGGAAGTGCGAACCCTCGCTCGAGAGACACTAATGGCCGGACACCAGTCTCATGGGCTGCTGGCGAGGGACATGGAAAGTTAGTGGACCTTTTGTTGAGCCAGCCAGATGCAAATCCCAACTCGGCGGACAATATGGGACGGACACCGCTATCGTGGGCTGCCGGAAGTGGACGGGAAGCAGTGACAGATCTACTACTGAGCCAAAGTAACATTGAACCGAACACGATGGACCGTGTTGGACGAACTCCGCTGTCATGGGCAACTGGAAATGGATGGGAAGCAGTGACAAAGCGACTGCTAAGCCAGAGCAACATTGAACCGAACGCGGTGGACAATGTTGGACGAACTCCGCTATCATGGGCAACTGGAAATGGATGGGAAGCAGTGACAAAGCTACTATTGAGCCAAAGCAACATTAAACCGGATGCGGCGGACGGTAATGGACGAACTCCACTCTCATGGGCTGCCCGGAATGGATGGGATGAAGTAGTGCAGCCTTTGATTGACCATCCGGATGTCAACCCTGATTCAACGGACGAGGATAACCGCACCCCACTCTCCCGGGCGGCGGAGGAAGGGTTCGAGGAAACTGTGAGTCTCCTACTTGGGAGGAGCAAGGTCAATCCTGACTCGACGGATTGCAACGGCCAAACCCCGCTCTCTTGGGCGGCGAGAAATGGGCACGAATTGGTAGTACAGCTATTACTGAAACGAGTAGAGGATCCAGACTTGGCAGCCAATGATGGCCGGATGCCTCTCTCTTGGGCCCACGAGAATCAGCACGAGGGCGTAGTGCGGCTATTACAGCAGCATAAGTTAGCTTCAACTCCATCTCTACTAGACCCAATTCCAGAGCCTCAACCATTGACACGCGTTGCGAAAATCCGACGCGTATTATCGCAATTGGTTGTCTTCCCGTAACACGCAATCTCGCATATATTCCTGTTTTGCCCTTATTCGAGTCCTATATCAACATCCGCATTTTTCTCTCATATGTGTATAAATGTGGGGTATTGATTTCTCCTATGAGCACTCGGGATGTCTTGTTTCATTCTTCATTTTAGCCCTAGCCTTTTCGTGTGGCTAGAGGGGGGGTTGGAGTTTCGGATTTGACAATTCATCTTTGGGTGGCCTTCTTCATATCAATTTTCCCGTTATGTGAATAGTGTAAAATGTGTTTGAATCAACCAAGCTCCTAGCTATCTACAGTGACTAGTGTCTATTTTCCCGATCCCACAGTACCCGGCTCGACCGGGCACAGCAGTGGCCAAAATACACCAAAATTAAGGGTCTCCAAGAAATCATTACCCAACCGCCATGGGTGGGAACAGCATAGAAAAGGTTCAAAAGGCGATTTTTTACAATAGCGCCCGGATAGAAAGTCTACGGTTTCCCCCCCTCCGTTCTCTGAGAGTAGTGAGGCGTGAAATGCTCTTTCCCTCATGGTACCTGGCGAGACCGGAGTTTTTGAATGAGAAAGATACATTGTAGCAGGCTTGGCTATGCTCACGTCCCCATAGCTCTCTACGGACTCGAAATAAAAGCCTGATATAAATGCTATTTCAGATATCTTAAAAAGAAATTTTTT